AAGTATCATATAAAGTAAAAAGAGAAAGTCCTCCATAGGAAAATATATACATAACATTTGAACTGTTGAAAAACTAGGTATCACAGAAAAAAAAGATTTGTTTTACCTTACTACACAAAAGACTTATGATAGTTGCAAATACTGTACATACCCATGCATTTATTTTCATTTGTTTATTTTACGTTTTTAAATTATATATTGTACTGGGGCTACATTGCAAACCCATTCACTTAAATCACACCTAGGGGTATAGCCTGGCCCCATCATTGAGTGCCAATTAAAGTGGAATTGCTTCACATGCTTACCTTATGAGTTCAATAACAGGGTCCCAGAGAGCACTGAAATTGACATATAACATGCCTAACAAATAACGAAGTGGCACCTGCAATCATAAGAGAATTGCTTAGTGAGTGGGTGGTAAGAACACAAGTGTTCAAATGTGTGTAGCCCAACCTAGACAGCCTCGGTGTTGGAAGCTCGTGATTTAAGAAAAGAAGTCACAGATACCAACCCAAAATTTGGTTTATAACAATTTTTCTCCATCCCACAATTCAACACTGAACAATCATTAAAACATCATGCATTTCATATTCATTCCTAAGGCTCACACATAAAGGACAAGAGTGACTCTACACTGCGTCCTAACGAACACTGCCATCACCTGGTAAGACCAAACTTAAAGAGCAGCCAGTAAAGCACAGAGTAGCTGGGAATGGCAGCTGAGGCTTCCTTCACAGGAACATGTCTGAGTTCTGAAATTTACTCACTCACCTTTTAGAATGACACTCATTATTACCAACATCACCCTGTACTGGATGCATGTAGAATGGAAGTTTTATTATTACTTGGGGATAGGTTGTTAATACATACTCAATTAGTATTTCCTTTTCCAAATGAAACATCACAGAGTATGCTAACATTTAAAACAGGTAAGAGCAGAACTGCTCTGCTTGAAAGGGGAAGGCTTCCCCCATCGCCTTCAAGAGTCATGGACTGAAACCCCTGGTAGGAAACACAGTGGGCAGATGTCCTATAGCAGTGAACAAATGTGGAAATGAATATTAGGCTTTAAACCCGACATTGAGTTTTCCTGTGGCTGATGTCCTATAGCAGTGAACAAATG